GACTTAGAAAAGTGCAGTTCAGCAGAAGTCGAGAATGAAACGTATGTGAAAGTGAACAGAGCAATAACCTTGACATGGATAAACACAAGCTATGTGTCAATGAGAAGGTCACATGTTATGTAGATATAACAATATTTATGTTGGGTAGATTGGAAACATTTACTCCACTAACACAAGCCAGAACAACATACTATTACATATGTACAGTTTCATTGAGTCAAAACTCAAAACACTGTTGCCAATAATATGCGTTTACAACACGTCACAAAACGAAGAATATACAAAACAATTCCGTTAATCAAACTTTAGTCAATATCGAGAGTAAAAGTTGTCTTGTAGTAAACTTCTCCAAAGAAAAGTATCACCGGGTGATGAGTTCAACAAATTTTAAACTGTAAGACTACGGGTTGGCGAGATTATATTTTCTCTATTTTTTTTCACAAATCGGAGACTTTAAGCATTCAACATAAAGCAATTACATCTTGATCAAATTGTGATTGCCTTTGAAAGAATAACGAACTGAGATCGTCTGAAATCAGATTTGAAAATCACAAATTTCGGTTCAGTTCAGTTAAGACTTGATACAATGTAAGATGCGGTTTGACATTGGTACTTTCTGGTATAGTTTTTTTTGATTCAGGTCAGATACGTTGGTACCGCTTTCGCCTTTGTGAAAGGGTGTTACTTGGACCACAGATCACCAGGATAGGTACAGAACTCTGATATTATAAAACACAATGAGCTAACATCTCTCTTTGGTGTTGTATTGTCAGGTATGCCACCGACCCACATAGACCATACACTTACGTTTTATAATTAACAGAAATAAGGCCCCCGCATTGCAAAATGTGCATAAAAAACGTTTCAACCTAACCAAAATGTAAAACCTTTACAAGAAATACGGCAAATTGTAGGTTTCAACTTGTATTCTGTGCATCCAAAACCTTTAAACCCAACCAAAATGTAAAACTGTCACAAGAAATAAGGCTCAGAATTGCGAAATTTAGGTTTCAGATTACGATCCAAAGACATAAGACCAAGCATTGCAAAATGTAAATTTCACAATGTATTTTGTGCATCCAAAACCTTTCAACCCAACCTAAATGTAAAACGGTCTACCATATTTGAATGACAGGAAGTTGATTAGCCTATTTATAAAATTTGAAGGATTTCCGCCCGTCAAATGGTTTGATAATAATTTAAACTTGTGGCTACTGACATACAAACCTACTTACTCTCTTTATTAAAAGAATTGTAAAAAGCTATACAACTTTTACTCCCGATTTTGTATCAGTAACGCTGTTTGCTTCTTCCTCTTGTTTTACAGAAATAATTATGAGGTTTTGTAAACCTTTTAAGTGTATCGGAGACACTTAACAGCATTTTCCAACGTCCAGCTTGTAGGATAGATTCTTGATTGTGAACCTAAGTTGTTATCCTTTAAAATATACTTATTTCTTGTTTTTTAATCCATCCAGCTGTAAATGGTTACGAATAATCCAAGAAGGTCAATGCCAAGATGTTATCCTTGTAAAATATAGTTGTTTTTTCTCCTGTCTGTAAGATTAAGAAGGTACGAATAGTGAAAGCTATGACAACCAATATTCGACATGTCGAAAGGACCATCCACATTTCTGAGAACTGACCCAAGCATCAATCATTTACACTTCATTTGCAGTAGCAGCAGCAACCAGCAACAATCGCAATCCAACACATCTTACAAATACAGTAGCATGCAAAACAGTAGCTACAGCGAAGCAGTATCGTGACTTAATATTTTGATAAAATCTCTCAGATACAGATTCACGCTATGAGTAAAAGGAAAAGATGCAACATCGTCCACTTGAAGCTCTCCTCAAAGACCAGATTCCATACTATCCGGCCAAAGCCTTTAGCAGGAAAGCACTTGGTACAATGGAAGAAAGCTTCACTTGCAACCAGAAATATCTTCTGCACATTGGCTATTTTTTATAGTCAGGGTGCCTCCAGGGTTTGATCAAAAGCCTCTATAACTATGGCCTGTTCTGTTCGAAGCATACAGGATACAGCAAAATCAAAGCTTTCTATCACAAGAGCAATTGAAAGTCGAAGGGTAAAGGGCTGACAAATTGAAATAAAAACATAGGAATTAAGTTTAGCATTTTTCTAGACTTTAATAAATATAAGTACTATATTTACACGTATTTCAACGATAAAATGGAGCATGATAAAATGTCTTTAATAATAATGATGATGATGATGATGAATGATGAAGAATGAAAAGAATGAATACTAAAAATGATAATGAGAGATGACAATATGTAACAACCATGAAGATTGATTGAGTGCTTTGGACAGTGTAAAACAACACCAGGGGCCTTATACTTAAAAACTTAACTTAGGGTGATTTTAGTGTTCCAGTCATTTGATTGGTCAATCACTAAAATTGAGTTTAACTTAAGTTTTCCAATCAGATTACTGTATTTCTTAAAATCTTAATTTTATTTAAGTAAAGTTTTGGAGAATAAGGCCCCAGTTCTTTTGATTTTTTGTTTTTTGCAATTAACACAATGTATACTTTAGTCGGTTTATTATTTCTGAAAACTCTGTACGATTATACTGTACCTGCAATCAGTTCAGACTTTTGTGCTTTAGAATATCCAAACATTTGAATGAGAAGGACATTTATAATTAGTGTTTTAGCTTCTGTTAAAATCCTTCCTATTACAAAAGAGAAAACAATTTGTTTGTAGGAATATTTTATCTAAACTTTGATCAGTTTATCAACTTTAATTAGATATTGAATTGCTCAAGGGTTTAGCTTCTTTAGCCATGTGTAAATTTTTCTTGATATTTAATGTACTAATTCATAATTACTCTATTAGTACACACATTGTTTAACTTATTTAGCTATTACAAATTTTCTTATTTCCTGTACTAATTACCAATTCTTAATATTGTACACAATTGTTTATTAGCTTTATTACCCATATACAAATTTTAGTGTTTAAAAGTACCTATTCATTATTGATAACTCATAATTATAGTACATATTTGTTCTATGGGCTTTATCAATACATAACTTTTAATTTAAATTCTTGAATTTGTTGATGATGCCACATTAGAGAGCAAATGATATTGGTATCTTGGTCTTCCTGTTTCATGGAGAAGGTTTAAGGGAGGGGGTGTTTGTATCACAGATTAAAAACATTTAAAAATCATAACACAGTTTTCTTTTATCATAACATCATAACGTCAACAATATTTTATACATTAATCACTGCTCAACTGAGAGCAGCACTATGTAATCTATTATATATATATACAGTTTATACTTTTAACACACTTGAGTGACACTTTTTCTTGGTAGAGGCCTTCTGATTTTCTATCAATTGAGGATGACAAGTCAGTATTAATGACTTGAGTTAAACGAGAATGGCAGTGCATAAAATTGAGGATAAAATGGGAGCAATAACAGTATTAAACTTGTGTGAACAAGGCTTGAGTTGACAATTTTAACACATATCTTAATAAATCATCTTTCACACAAAATTTTTAATTTTATAGCTTTCTGTTTCCGAAATCATATTTGAAAATATTAGACTTATCAAGATTAGTGAGAATTTAACCCAGAAAACCTCGTTAACACAAATTCAAGATGGCAGAAATATAAAAATAATTCCATCAACTGTTAAAATTGGCAGACTAATTTCTGATGTATGAATTTTTAAAATGAAAGTGGCAATTACAGGTCACAATAAATAATATATCCCTAGATATTAAAAACAAATTTCTATCAACTGGACAAGAATTAGAACTACCAATAAATAAATAAATGTTAGATTATTAAGCAAGATGATGTAAGATGGGAAGATGGAAAACATCAGGCCAAAATATTTCAGATGTTAACCAAAAAAATGAATTTTCGATGACCTATTTTAATTGTTGTGGAAGGGGTTACAATTTGACGCTGGCCAGCTCTCAAAAGCATTGGTCATGTCATCATAATTTTTCAAGTCTATTTAGAGAATTTTCAGAAATAAATTATTAAATTGAAAGGAAATAAAACTTAAGAATCAATAAATTTTTTTGAGAGAAATTCAAAAATTTGCCAATTGATTGTACTTACATATTGAGGAAGTTACACTGTCCAAGTTCTCAGCGAGGGTTAAAATAGCCCCTTAAACTTGTAGTTTACATAGAATAGGCCACAGAGCTAAAAATGGGGTAAGCCACTTCCACATATAAAATAGTTTGAACACATGAAAATATTTAACAATAATAATCTGTTTCCATGACGATAAATTAATAACAAAGACTTTAAATATCTCCAATATTAACATTTAAATCCAGCACAGTTACAAGAGATAACTGTACAAAAACACAAAATAAATCTCCTCACTATATTCAAGAGATATTCAACTTTTTAAATATTATAATATATTTTGTACGATATTCCATTGAACAATTTTGCTATCATCCATCATTAAATGGATAACACTTTTAACAATAATCCAGTTTCAAAGAATAACACACAATGCCCTCCTTATTTGATTCCTAGTTCCACAAATTTACAAAAAAACATCCAATTTATCGAAAAATATGTTTTCTTTCAATTGAGAATAACAGATGGCCTTCCACTGAAAGACTGTCCATGACTCGATTTCTAATTGAAAAACGAAAATATATAATGTGAATACTGAGAAAAAGGTTTTTAAATTGTATCTTCTTGACTTGACAAAAGTTTTGACCTCCATTTTGATGTTGGTTATATTTTTGGAGTCATCATTCAAAAGACATTTTAAAACAAATCAGAAACTGATTTGAATTTTGGTGTCAAGTTTAAAGTTTCCATGTCACAACAAGCTGTTTAATCTGTACAATAACACCCGCTTTGATATCACATCCATATAACATGGATTTTAAATGCTTTACGCGCTCGACGAGTCACTTTCTATAAGAAGTCTGCGAGTTTGTGAGTGCTGTGAGCATTTGTTGCCCTTCTTGGCACCACCACCGCCACATTGGCACCCTTTTTTACGACATCTATTGTAGCAAGACGTTACAGCTTTCAGACACAATCTCTCCGGCCAGTAGCAACAGAGACATGGAAAGCAAAGCGACATCACCGACATGCTAATCCATCGCTTCCAAAAATGAGGAGGTCCACACGCACATGGATCCTCGTAACATGTATTGTCATCCTGGCCACCTCCACCACAATGATAAAATGCACATTTCACTGCACAGAAACATGTTGTGGTGTCTATAATTTTCTCAGCCGAGCATTCACAGGTTTCCCCACAGCACCATCGAGTTGGTAGTTCTCGTGGATCTGTACATGCTGAACACTGACATTTTCCGCAGTTTTTACACATGATGGATTCCATATGAGAATCATCATTGTCACTGATGTCCTTTTTTAACGGAGGTGACACTGAAATTGGTTGATTAGATATCACCGTGTTGGCCAGGTGCGTTCGACTATTACGCACTGCCGACTGACTGCTAGTAATCCTTTGAGGATGGGTAACATGATGTCCCGGAGTATGAATTGGCACCTTGTATGTGTGTTGTCGGGGTGGACCCGGGCTTTCCACGTACTCATTTTGATGTCTTGGTCCAGAGCGCACTTGATTCAATGTTATAGCCTGCGAGTCAGGAGGAGGGAGAGCTCTCAGAGTCGAAGCTCTCATCCCAGTCTCTAATGGCATATCTATTCACTTAATTTATCCGTAACTCCACATTTTCAAAAACTTCTGAAAAAGAAATTCAAAAAATAATAAAAAGCTTTCAAATCAATTAAAATTCTTGGTCATCTTCGGTTTGTTGAAAGCTTGCAAGCTTCTAGACCACCTCAAACAAAGTATGACTTTATTGTTATGAGTATATCTGCACAATGTGGGTATTTGGTCGTTTAATTTGAATTTTAAAGACACAGAACATCATTATCAACAGCTTTAACTCAATTAAGAAACACAGCATTGATATGATTTGTGATTCAAAGATGACAGAAAGTGGCATTCAGGTTAATTTATGTATATCCCTGAAGTACTGAATTACACTGGAAAGCAGAATTTCATCAAAGCCAAACCATGTGTTCAAGGAATCTACATACGTTAGTCAATGTAGTGTTCTTTAAATCACATCCTGAATATATACATGTATCCTCCAGACGATTGCCGATATTCACGACTCCACTACTCAGATGTGAAATTCAAATTTTCTCAGCAGCAGGAAAGAATCAAGTCTGAGAGATGAAATGTGTTCTGTGTACTGGTTTCTGGTCGAATCTCGAGCAGCGCGCGGTTCGAGATGACAGCTACAATATCGGTTGAAGACCAAGCCAGCGACTTTCCACTGTATAGCTAACTATTTAACTATATAACACACGGTATAATCAGGTCATTTTCTCCTCTATACGCTACGTTAACACTCATAATACGTACCTGTATCTCCATGTAGACCCTCAAAAATCCTTATTCCAATCCTAAACACATAGTAGAATTTGTTAAATTTAAGAAATAATCAAATGTTAACCATTAGCAGTCTTATACGGTAAAAGCAAGTTGGTTCTGAAATCTGAACCTAAAACGATAAATGACCTCCCGGGACTTCCGGCCGAGTCTATTTTTTGCGGGGGAGTAAGAGTATATCTCCAATAATCAATACAATTCTCCTTTCTGGCTTTCAATGAATGGATTTTTTACTGCAAATTCCAAATCATCGCGCTACAAAACGAGTAGAGCATCGATCCTGCATGCAAAGACGGCAGCATGTGAAAACCTCGAACCCACGCATTTGTTTGTTTATCCTCTGCCAAATATGGTGATTTGGTGATATAGGCCTATCACGTGACTTTCCACAGCATACAACCTTCATGATAATAGTCAATGAAATTTATTTCGGTTGGAAAATTCAATTCACACAGGTTCTATTAAGATATTGATGCGACTTTCCCCCGGGCTGGACATAGGGCAATACGTCAGCGATCTTGTCCAGGCTTAAAAGCTTAAATAAAGATTTTATGAAAGAAATGGACATAAATTATTTAGGTCAGTGTGTGTAAGATACTGTACACTTCATATCGAGGCTTCTATCTCGTGCTATATGAATGAAATGGCTCGCGCGTATGGCGCGTGGGATCCTATTTCTAATTCGCATGATGTGACCTTTTCGGTGTGTTTAATGAATTAAAAACAGATTTTTCATTAATATACAAGTCGATCCACATTGAACCAATATTTGAGTTATCTCATAGTAACATGATGTAAGACGTTATGTTGTTATCTCTAAAACCACAACGCAAAAACGTCATCAATATACGATGTATTTTACGCATGTGATTATGGATTGCATCATATTATAAACCGGCAGACCGGATGCAAGCTGCTTCCATTCATACTTAGTCTGTTCAAAATCTATATATCGCCTGCATATAATTTTGCAAACGTTCAGCTCGAAATCGATCAAAACCCCACAAGTGAATAACGTTAAATTCAATTTCTATAGAATACAATATAAATATTTTGTCTAAAAAACCATTTTAGTACAAAGATATATACACGTACATGTGCATTTATTTATGTACAACATATCAGAATATGAAGATTGGAACTTTACTTCTAGGATGAATGATTCGATCAGAAATGTGTCAGAAATATAGTAAATAACTTGTAAAATACAATATAAATCTTTGGGCTTGAAATCATTCCAGTTGAATAATATACATCTTGTAATTTTATATAAATAAAATACTATTATGGACATACTACTCCACTTTAATTTAAGCAACGTTTCAATTCGCATACAGTAATCTTTTTCAATGCTTGATAAAGATTACTGTATGCGAATTGAAACGGAGTATGTCCATAATAGTATTTTATTTATATAATGTTCTATCTACTTCTAAATGTAAGGATTATCTTGAATGTTATTTCGATGTAAAACACAATTGATAATTTCTTAATATTAATGAGATGCCTTGTAGATCACTATCACAAAAAAGTGATGCAACAGAGATTGAAGATGTGCGTCTCAGCGGAATAATATAAAGATATGATGATTGGAACCAAAGATCTGGGATGAATGATTGGATCAGAAATGTGTCAGAAACATTGTAAATAACATGTCAAAAAGAAAGTTTATATATTTAGCGATACTAGGCGTGTAATCTGATTTAAATTTGTAAATCCGGTACGAAGGCCTTGGGGTTTCCGGCCCTACGGCCGTAAAAAAATCAACAAGGTGATATGTTACGACAAGCCTTCATTAAAACGTAGGTAAGAAAACAACACAGGATATCCACTATTGTTAACTAATCAGAAACACGATTGAGGTCATTATAGGGTGTAATAATCTCTAGTACTAATTACGTATTCTTGATAATACTTCGTCAACACGAATTTTGGCAGTCCATTTTGAACTGGTTAACACTCGGACCGAACACTCAGCAGATCCCTTCGCAGTGGCTCAACTGCCATAGGGACTGGTTGAACTAATTCCACTGGCCCCCAACCCATTAAAAAAATGCAGGAGAGCATATGTTAAAAACAAAAATTCTCGAGGTAGGGGCCCCAACCACAACCCACTAAGCCCAAAGGTCCCCACTCATCTAGTTCAGCCACTGACAGTCCATTTTGAACTGGTTAACACTCGGACCCAACACTCAGCCGATACCGTCAATCTAAACATTTGTTTAGCAGAAGCAGTAATGATTTATCTATTGTGTCATCAAGAGTTCGATGTTGCATGTCAAAATTTAGGGGGACCAAGAGTATGATACTTGCGGTATTTCACACAGATCCGTCAACAAATAGACGACTCACTTTAAATGAACCCTTATCTTATCCAATTACATTTCGATTTAAAGTGACCCATCCTTAAAATTCAGGTCCGCAGGTGGTGTCGCCCGTATAGGATGCGGAAGTTTACCCACTTGACAGTCAGTGTCTATATCCCCATGCCAGATTCCAGATGCTTCCGCCAGTCGATTTCAGTTTGTCAATACAATAAATCTCTTTTTAATTTGCTAAGATGGCAAGAATATAAATACAATAAGAATATACTACAATGGCTCTGAAAATGAAATGAAATGAATGGTACGTCCTACTTTTCTGCACCATGTGGGATAATGAAGACGGACAACACCATGCAGAGTGCAATGGGGGAAATTTTGCCATGACAGCGTCATTATCCTGCTCTTTTTTTTGATTTCCAACTGTCGAAGTCTCTTTAACGTGCACTGTTTATAGCACACGGGTACAATGGCTCTGAGATCAAAGCACCGCTGAATGTTATTGATATGTACTGTGTGCAAATTAGAGGTGTTCGTGATCCAGGAATTTTAGTTCATGGTTTTGGTAAATATCCATTGCTGTACCTCTTTTAATTATAAATACAGGTACAATGTTTATAGAAAGGCAGGAAAAGTATCAGACGTAACACCACCGAGTCTGTACTGTCAAAAGAAAATGCCATTATGCACGTCAGTTGTGTGATTTTTGTGATAAAAAAGAAGAGGATCTTTAATTTTGACAAACCAAGATAAAGTTGTAAAAAGGAAGAATACACGTCTAATAAAAGTATGACAGGAAACGAGGCGAGGGTATTTAGCATTCATATCTGTAACTTGATCCCCATGAAAAAAATGCACATTATTTTTTTATGTGTTTTTGCAAGATTTTGTGTCGAGAGTAAAGGCGTATGTCGGTTATTTTTTTACATAAAGATCAAATTTTGAGTAAATATGAAGGGCATTAACGATACAATGACAAGATGGGAGATGAAGATAAAATCCTGAGGACATATGAGTATTTGCGATTAGGCTTTTACAAGTCAAGCAAAACATGTGAAATTTAAAAGGTTTTCTGAAAATATGGATTGCCAAGTTTGATTTTAGCTACGACATCAACAAGATTTATAATGTCATCGTAAACATCCAAAAAACCCTCTATTTAGATAACTTTCAGGAACTTGTGTCTAAGAAAACATCCTGGACAGATACCAGCTTCTGCTATATAAGTTTCTGTGTTCACAGGATGTGGGTAGAGTTTCTGTGTTCGCAGGATGTAGGTACAGCCTCTGCGACTCCAGGAAAAACAGTACCAAGAGGATAATCAGCTGTATTACAAAATGAATACCGCTTTCTTGTTTGACGGTGTACTTCGACTATCTGCTGTGGGGGTTTTATATACGCCGATGGAAGGTAAGGCCTGTGCATTTCGGGTGAAATCAGTAACAAGAGAGTATTCTCTTCTTAGTATATTGGTGCTGACGGGTAAAAAATATCAAGGAATGTTAAGCGACCTTTACAGGCATATTGTGAACATTGCCACCCCCGCTCGAGCTGGTAAATATGAGTAGAGGGTTGTTTGAGTACGATAGAGAATAGTCTTTATCAGATCCAGGTGTAAATGTTTGTTTTATAGTCGTAAATGACCGGCCAAACCGACCACAAGAATTCCATTAATCAATTTCGTCTACGACGGTCACGCTCCATGCATTGTAGTGGTCACAACCACAAACATTTTAATCCGATGGCTACTCATGACAACTGACCACAAAAACCGCAAGATCTTCTATTGTCCGTCTGTGTTCACTGACCATGTGTGACCATTATATACAATTCTTCGAAGCCCTTTCGTTAAAGGAACAGTTTTGCTGACTGAGAAGAACGATATTGCAATATTTGGGAGAGAATGTATCTTGCTTACCCGTAACCCTTATTCGTAGGCTTTTCATAAAATGGACACTTTTGCAGTCAAGCAGTAAAGCAATATTTGGGAGGAATTTTATCTTGTTTACCCGTTACCCTTCTTCGGAGCCCTGTGCGGATATTTGAAGAGCAAAAATAACTTTAAGAAAGCACTTAAAAATGTGCCGGAATATACAAATCATTGAAACGCTTGAGGGACCCTGATTATGAATGGATTCCTCGTCGGGGACGTAGCATCCATATATTACTAGTAACTGTTGATTGGCAAGTGCATGAAACCATGACCATTCAAACCGGACAATGCTCTTGACCACTCTCTACTGGACTATGAAATAGTTCAACAGTCGTTTAGTTTGTATTGTCGGGTCAAGTGGCAACCGCTAATGTCAAATTATAACCATTCAATAGGGTGATTAATTGATTACAGACCTCGATATGCTAGAGCACCAATGTACTGCAATGGTTGTTTCACATGAATGCACATTGAACACATTTAATATAACCGGTATGATATTCATCATTTATTTGCAGCCCTTTCTCCAGCTTTTTTAAGACTCAGGAAAGAGGAATTTTCATGTATCAAAACTGAAAAAATTCAAGGTCTTATTTTAGAGCAATCCATGTTTAAATGGGGCAAATGGGGGTCAGTGTGGATTGAAAATACATACTTGAAAAAAAAACCGGCACTATTATAGTTTGGTTGACGTTTCAAAAACGGAGCATGTGCCTCGTTTGTCGATAATACGATATATGGCCTTGGACTGGCGAAGGACAAGGAAATGTAAAGTTTTTTTTAAAATTACAAACCGCTCGACGAGTAGCTTTGTACCCACGGAACGAGAAATTTAATAATGTATTTGACAATTGACATCTTTGGAGAGCTGGCGACTGGTCTGCTTGTCGAGACGTTCGGCTCCTCACTTCAATTACTCAGGGCCCTCACATCCGTCTCAAGCGGTTATAACAGAGGAATACGAACTCTCTTTTCCGTACTCTTTCAAGACTATAGAGCCACTACAAGTACAATAGGATAAATAAAAGAAAATACACTTAAAACTCGAGATTTCTTGTTTTTCTAAAAGGAGCCGCGAAGGAAATACTAGATCTTGTTGTCATAAAACACATTCAAGTGTATTTCCATAGATAAGTGTAAAATTCAAGTGGTGGGAAAAATGAAAAAAAACCCAAACAGAATTCCGGATTGACGGGGGTGTGAGAACAAATTGATCACAATATGATTGCAATTAAATTCGGTCTGACAAAATACCGTTTTAAGAATGAATTCGTCTCATTTACATTGTTTACAGGGAATCTAAACAAAGGTTGGGCACGAGTTAGTTGTAAGTTACCGGTACCGTACTCCCGGTAGCTTAAAATACCGTTCTAAGTAGGCTATGAATCCCTTTCTTTGAATCTTACAGTGACTAGGATAGTCATAGCTAGGGCCCAGGGGAACAAGGGTTTCGCTTACATTTTGTAGGCCTATATTGGCTTCACTACATAGTTTTAACTCACTGAAAATCAGAAAAAAGCCTCTTTTCTGGGGCAACTCCCCGTACTAACGCCGCTGCCTCTTCAGCAATCTGTTTGAGCATTGGTCGCTTTAATTTCGAGGAAGGGGGAGTTTGATTCCTCTCCTCCCAAATGTACAGACCTTTGGGTTAGTCACTATTGTCGGTGGATTTAACGATCTACGGCAAGCTCGTCTCACCCAAGAGGAATTATACTTACCCCAAAACCAATATCTTTCCTTCAAATTCATCTGTCATTGTCTGGCACTTGATTTTTCGCTCGATCTTCATCATTTCTTCGATCTGCATCGCGCAACAACAAGCAGTCGATCCTCTTCTCCCGCGCTTTTTCGTAAGGGGAAATAACTCAAAGCGACTTTTCAGGACCAAGACCACCACTTATGCCATTTCAAATGCGATATTGCACTATGAATTTTGGCCAAGGAGACAGCAGGATTCAGACTGCAAATAGGCCTATAGGCAATAACTTTCCAAAACAAATTGCAAATTCGTAGCCTAACCACTAGGACAAAATTGGCCTATGATTTTATTGGACAAAACGACCTGATTCACCAATACAGTAGGCCTATTTAAAATAGAAGTGACGTTTTAAGAAAGGGGGTCATTAAGTCATGCCCCCCCCCCCCCCCCCTCACACAGGCCTGCGAAGGGTCAATTTGAAGCGAAAAGCCTTCTAAATGCTCAAAATTCACCTCAGGCCATCTGAAATTCGTTGGGTACTGAGGCCTTCTTGTAGCGACCTCTCCTCTTTTGGCATTTTTGGATGCGCCCTATGACAGATGTATGGAATAATGACTCGCAAACAGAAGACTCTAGTGATACGATATATCTTGGCTTGATCGTGGTTAACCACAACCGTGCTATGTTTACCAAAACATAACACAAGAATGTTTACTTGACGAAATATCATACATAGTAGGCCTATAAACAAGTTTTCTTTTGAGTTTTCTTTGTCCGGTTGGTCTTTGAGGGCAATTCGATTTTTGATGACAATCCATACTTCAAAGAAAAGAAGGCGGGGGCTGCAATCGGTTTTATGAAAACATTGAACAAAACCAACAAGAAGGCCACGTTTTCCAAAATTGGTTTTCCGTTGCAAAAGGCTGGCCAGATTCAAGATTCAAGCGAGTTAATAGAGTTATAGCATACTGCATAATCCTTGATAAAGCAAATATAATTCTATCAATGGTGACCCCAAAATAACATTTTAATGTCTTTTGTATTTCAATTTATTTATTAAGCCCCTCAATCTATTTGAAACGAAGCTCGATCCGCCCAGGATATCGAGATGAATGGGGTATACCAATGTGAAGTAACGTTCCCACGGTCGGTTATTTGTTATTTATGAATGGTTTGGTTTGTTTGCGAATGGACATGGGGGACTTGACCAGCTTTATGAATGGGCTGACCAGGGATCAGATTGCAGTGTCCGATTAATGAATGAAATTTGAGTGTGAGAACAGGTGTGGTTTGAAGCTGCTCTGTGATTGGTTGAAACAGGCGAATATTTATTAATAAACCAGATGCATTATATGTAGTTCATAATATGTTCTTTGTGATCAATAAAATACAGTCAATAAAAAGTAAATCCTCTTGCCATATTCATTGTCATGTCCTATTTCAAGTCAATAAGTGAATGAATTGACCTTTTATGCCCTTCATTTCTCTATCATTTTAATTCCGATACCATGCAGTGGGCAATGAAAGAATTTCACATTTCTGCGCTGGATTTGGCTAAAGCGGACAACAGAAATTTTACCAGGACAGTAGCATAGGCCTACGTTTTCCATTTCTATAACTGTCCCTGGATTTATAGCATGCAAAGGTAGCATTCAGGGCCTTGGTATATTCTCCCATCCATACAAGATAATGCCTAGATTTTATCCAGTTTCCCACTCTGGCCAATTATCAAAAGAGAGAGTATAATTACAGGAATAATTCTTCAAGGCACCAACACTCTTTATTCCATGTTTTTTATAATAATTCCATTCCAACAAATCAAGACATCACTCGTAATTTTTACAATGACTGAGAAAAATAGAATTCTTATTTACAAAAACTTGTAATATTTACAAACTAACACCACAGACTCTGTACGGGATATTCTGGGGCTTCCCATTCTGAAAATTTTTCCATAAATAAGTCTCAATTAACTTTAAGATAGTTTTTTTTTTCTCAAAAAAAAAAAATGGAGGCTGACCCCAGTCTCAAAAGATATATTACTATTATATCCCAATTCTGCCTTGATTTCATATGTGCACAAGACTTAAAATAAGAGTGTCATACGAAACTACATAGCCATTTCTAGATCGTTAAATGTGATTTGACAGATTTGTTGAAACATTGTAGCCTTTTAAAAAGTCGAGGAAGAGATTCAAAATGGCTGTGAATTACGTTCGTGTGCGTTATTTCCATGTTAGAATCATACCTAGTTTCGTATAGGAGGAGTGTGTTCCAGATTCATAAAAATACAGCAATTGTGTTAGTCAATTAACACCAAGTCAAGTAGAACATACTCCCTCATAAACAGAATAAACCTTTTTTTTCTAAGGCAGATGAGAGTATTTTATTGGCCGATCGCATAATATTAAAATCGTACGAATCACCGGCATAAAAAATGTGGGATTTATTTGGCCGATTATTTTCACTGGTGATAAAATTTTCTCATCTGCATCAAGGTAACATTTTGATTTAATATTTAATAGCACTCTCAAACAAAATAAATAATTTAAACCCCTTATTCTCAATTTTGGTAACGGTGGATTCTTCATAAAAATAATCAGTGTACCAAGGGAGGTGGTCTAGGTGTGTCTTAACTTTATACCTCACCTCTCTCTGAAGCTAATACAAGACCATCTTTTATTGCCTTGTATCAGTTTTGATGAAGGATATCACAATCTTACACAACTAAGCAAGCACTTTCATGTGAAAAGTTCATTAGCTGCTACCAATGTTTTGCCAGTATGTTTTGTTTTGGATTTTATTCATGTAGACTCATCTCAATAACCTTAAACAAAATTTTATTTTTTGCTGTGTGACTTTGGGTGGCGTTGAATTCCTCTGGTTTTTAACTAGCACGTTTCCACAATGTCTTTACCCACACCAAAATACAATTTTTTTTTTGTAAAATTACTTAATTTCAATCCAACTAATGTTCATCTCAGATGATTTCAAATAATTTTTTCAACTGCATGATCAGTATCCAGTCGTTTTTCTGCATGTCGTCACGGAAATAATTTTTGACACAATCTATAGTCTCTCTGGAAATCTGAAAAAGAAAGAAAATGGTCGTAGAGTTAACTAATTAGTTTTGTGGTCAGTTTAATTAAGATAAGACCAAACTTTCCTTCCGTTATCAAATTTCTACCCTCTCCAGCGCTGCTGTTTTCTGGTGCGATGTTTTTCAGGTTATTTCAAAAGATTAATTTGATGAACATTTAAGAGGGCTGTCGATTTCAATTTTTTTCCTCACACTTTTTGTCTTCATAATCTAACAAGCTTCCTATCAAAGTCCTGTTATATTGACATTAACTTTAGCCAATCAAAACAGGCTTGTTTCTTGATAACAATAACAAACTGTGGGATAGCCGAACCCAAAGAAGCTGTCATCATATTGTTACTTTAGGTTTTCACTATCTCAAATATTTAACAGGCAATATTTTAAGACTAGACTATTTACACAGTAAGAATAAAAATACAGTTTCTGTTTTATGAATGATTTTCTCTTAAATTTGTAGGTCTTTGGGAAACTCTTCATCAAACATTTTTTCCACGGAAATTGTTTAAATTTGCAAGTCTTTGAAAAAGGCTTTTTTTTTTAAAACCTTACAATTAACCATACTTTACAAGTGTTGTGTGCATTCTGCTTTTGATATCTGAGCAGTATATTTAAGAGACTTTTCCCAGTTCAGCAAGTTTTTGAAAAATTATATGCATTGCCTTGACTCCCATTTAAAGAGGCAACATTCAAAATTTTCATTATTTCAAAACATTATAGGTGAAAAGATTTCTAAAATATGCTATTTACTTCTATGTATCTACTTCTTCAAACTGAATATATTCTAAAAGGGTAAGTAAGCAGTTGAAAATGAAATGAATTGAGTCTTATTTCCTACTTTTCTGCACCGAGTGTGTTAATGAAGACAGGAAACACCATGCAGTGTACAATGAGGGAAATTTTGAAGTAAGCAGATTAATCAGACTACCCCTTTAATTCTAATTGGTACATATTAGATTTCAATAGAAGAATTATGAAATTTCTTGTTGATAATCTGATCTGGGCACAAACATTTAAATATGAATAACGCCCAATATTTTCAAAGGCTTCAACTACAACATAGTAAAAAAACAGAAAGTTGAATTGACTGAAGTTGTGTTGTCATGTTTACAAACTCTAATTCTTTGACATCACAAGGCACATGTATCACAGAAGTTTGTTAATGCATCCATTTGATTGGATTGTATGCTAGCAGGACAACCAATCAGAGCCCTGGACACAGCTACTGAATGCAGCCAATCAGAGCTCTTGATAAGCACTGCCCTAACGTTTAGTCTTTCTCATCAGGGCTCTGATTGGCTGTATTCTCTAGCGTACAATTCAATGAAATCACTGCATTACATTTACAAACTTCCATGATGCAAGAAAATTGGCTTCTGATGTTAGAGTATTTGACAGAGTTTGTAATTGCCTCCAGTGAAATCACTGCAAGAAAGAGCTTAAATATGTCAAGGTATTAGACAGAGTTTGTAATAGCTTGACATTGTGAAGAAGTTGTGTTGTATATGATATCGTGTTGTTAATATGATATGATAATTATAGGGGACATAATTCAACACGGTAACTTTAGTAATTACTCCAGTCATAAAATGTCTCAATATTTCAAAACATACCCAACCAAGAATTTTGTTAAAGAAACTGGGCGTTAACAGGTGTTTTTGTGTAAGAATTTCACAATGTTTCATGTAACTTGAAGCACAATGTTTGGTGTAGCATTGTTAACTCAAAAATGTACAAGAATTGTGACCAGTAGCTTTATTGACCAATCAGATTACTGTATTTCTCAAAATCTTAATTTTATCCTGATTAAAATTTTGACTCTGCTGGTTTCCAACTGTCACCGCATATGTGAGACAAGGCAAATTACTATTTCAAAACACCTGATGCCACTGTGAGCTGGAGATCGTCAACTTAGCACCCTTTTCTGACAAGCCATTTAGCTGAAAACTTGATTTTTAGAAAATAATTTTTCACTAATTGCATACACATGGCAAATAAGGATCACATTTCTTTCAGAGAAAACATATTTCTGAATTTTTCTTTTTGAAATGTTTTTCACTTAATGCACACATCATAAATAAAAATCTTTTCTTTCAGAGAATTAATATTTCTTAAATTTAAAAAAAAAAAAATTTGATGTTTTCAACTCATAAACATTTATGGAATCTTTCTTTCAGAGAAGATGTATTTCTTACAACTTCAAATCCTGTTATTTTTTTATTCATATCCTACAGAAGTAAACTAAGGATGGGGTCCTATAATAAATACATCCATCTGTCTTGAAACCTTGACAAGGAGAAATTGAAACCAGTTATTAAGGAAAATAAGAGTGCGTGGGATGAGTTGATGAGATGTTAACCCTCACACCTGTATAGACAAAATTATCAAGAAAAGAAATTTCATCACGATACCAACCACTTATTTTATGACTAGCTATATTGTCTATTTTAAAGGAATAGGTGCACCATCAGGGGGTTGATTTTAGCATTGAACATATGTAAATAGTCTTCAGAAATACTAGAAAATATGAAAGAATACTACGAAAATCGCATAATTCCTTTCAAAATATCTCAAACTAGAAATTTCTGTTCCTATTTCTATAGATGTCTTTTCTTTATACGGCAGTGCCTCAAGAAAAGACGAGTCGTCATTTTATCTTTCTAACGAGGATAATTCTGGACACACATGGATTTGAAGGTTCAAATTTCGACGGTGAGATGTGAACACTAGTACTGATTGGCTAAAAAAATTACAGTTTCTGAGACTAAAGTATGATTGGTAAAAAAAATTAGCGCACCTGTCCCTTTTAACAGATGTGACAAAAATCATTTGTTGAATGCTATATGAATCGTCTGATACGCTCAGTGGCAATGTGACATTGGGCATTCTAATCGGGTATCACAAAACTAGTTTTTATATCCAACTGTTCTGCATAATATCAGGCTGGTAAGGAAAATATTTTGACAACAACGTCCCTTTAAAGTCTAGACAGTATCACTTGATTGTGTCAATGAATTAACAATTTGTAATCAGTTGATTTATAGATTATTTATGGTAATATTTTGGCTGATTGCCAATTTATCCAAAAATACCCTGCAGATATTCAATATTATATTACCCCCACTAAGATTTGCTGTATATATATATTAAGGTCTGGATTAGCTGATAGCTATATATAGTTGTCATTAACCTACTGACCTATATATAGAATTTGTTGACATTGGTATTTTTGCTAAAAATGTAAACAGTTTTATACAATATTTAATGACACAATTTTTCAAAAGTAATAATCTGTCTGTTTAGAGCATCGAAATGTTGGTTCCTATTTTCTTCACTGTCTGACAGACCTAAATATAATTTCTTTTAAATTTAGGAAACAGCATCCCTTACAATATGTAGCCAGTCAAAAAGTGTAATCTTTATCAGATGGTGATGAGAACTTAGTCTCATAAAAGCACTGGCCACAAATTCTGTGTAATATTGAGTTGAATGGATTCTATCACAGCAGCCATGATGTTGTGATAACCATTTTTTTGTCATTTTGGACATTATGAAATCATTTCGTGTTTTACAAAATTTTGGAATTGTCCAACAGAACGTGCTTTACATGTCTGCTTTACCGGTCATTTTTGTATTTCATGGTAATTCAAATTGTTTTTGATTGTAGATATTTCACCAAGACCCAAAGATACATACCTTGCTCATAAGGATATCTTCATGATCAAAATGTTTACCATACATCCTAGGAGCATGACCTGGTAGTGGTTCTATTTTAATACACACTTCCTGCCCTTGTCTCGCCATATCTACTTGTTTATGATTCGCCTCTATACTAGTTATTCTTCCCAGATCACAGAACTGAAAAATACAAAATATTAAAATATTATGTTATAGCAAATCACAACACTGTAAACCATAATTTCCAAAAAACAGATAAATGTCATGATCATAAAACTGAAAAAACAAAGAATCAAATATTATGTTTTGGCCTAACTATCATGCATCACAAAACCGCAAAACATATATTTTCTAATAAGTTATGAGTTTATAAACATCAACATCAAAAAGTGGAATATAAAAATTCAGATTCTAAAGATATGACGTATATCTATTTAACTATCATGTAGCAGGAAAGTAGAAAATATTTCATTTCCACAAAACTGTTTATTACCAAACCACAAACAGGAATATTTGTTTTTAAGATGTTTGTCTGATCTTTTCTTGACCATAATCTATGCAACACAGGCCTGTGCATATCATTGAAGCTTCACCCTAGAACTCTAGACCTTCAGGTTAGTGAGCAAGAGACTCACTGAGCCACAGCAGCTCAGGAAGTGTGGGCATCCCCTTAAGACCATACTAGCTAACACCAACACTCATCGAGTTCATTGCTGGTACTGAACCCTGGACCTGCATTTACCTCACTGAGCAACCATGATTCTGAAAGTGTGGGCATCCCCTTAAGACCATACTAAACAACACCAACACCAACTGAGCCATTATTGTAGTCGAGATGAAGGCGTGCATTTCCTTTACAAGACACAAGACACTGTTGTTGAAAGAATGTAACCTAGTTTTTAAGAAAAGATGTGGTAGGTCAGCACGACTTTCAAATTTCATCACAAAACTTGGCTTCTTCCTCAATTTAATTTATAGACAAAAAGTTTTGAGAAATAATCTTCTGATTTTAAATTATTTTCTTGCAGGATTGAAACCATTCCAATTGTAATTTTCATAACGACTTGATAGACTCGTTAACAAAGAAGACAATCAACTCAACATAGATGCACTAAGATACTGGCTGGGCCATATTCCAGAAAACTTAACTTCAGATGATTTTAATGTTCCAGTCATTTGATTGGTCAATCACTAAAATTGATTTTAAATTTAGTTTTGTAATCCAATCAGATTACTTAATTTCTTAATGTCTTGATTTTTTATTTAGGTGAATTGTTTAATGAATTTATGCACCTGCCTTCAAAAATGTTTTGATACCTAAAAAAAACTTCAAAGTGAGACTCCTCCCTCTAAGAATAAAGATTTTTCGATATCATTATCTGCTTAAGAGAAACATGATTTTTGGAAAAATGTTATCTTTTGAAACTAGCATGTACCCTTTCTTTTAAATTATTTTCAATATTAACAAAATTCTTATAATTCAGTAGACAAAAGGGAAACATTTTTTTCACATATTTTGAAGATGGAGCAATTTCCCTCTTGAAAGGAAAATAAAAAAAAAATAATTTCAAAGGAAATAAACAGAGAATCTTGATATCGAAGAAAAGGAAAATATTTACATCCTCAGTTTCAAATGTCAAGGTCAGCATAACCAGTTACGAGTTCTCGTATGACAAGTTCAACATTTGGTGAAAATAAAAACCCTATTTAAAATAGTTCTATACTGATGGCTAATATGTCATAAGAATTCCTTTTATCAAATTTTACTTTCATTTTAATTCAGGAGCGTTAATTTGATGAGCTGTGATTGGTCAATATAATGTAATATTCATTATCCAAACCAATCAAATATCTCGAAGGAAATAGAAAAAGTTTACCAACAGCTGAGATACTAAACGTCGAAGTTGGGGAGGTTTTTTTTTTGGGACACCCGATATAATGGTCTCATTGAATTGTCAATTGCAAAGTAGAGATTAGGGTGATTAAAAGGTTACAAGTGACTATTCAACAGAAAGCACTGGCACAGGCTTTAAATAGTGTTTACTTATGTTGATGTCAGCATGTTACAATGGAAAATTCGTTGTACAGGTGTACTTTTAGCCAGTGCAGAACTTTAACAATAACCAATCTCCTGAATGACTCACAGATCACACTCACAGCTCATTCAACAAAATACTTTAATTCATGAATCTTGGTTTCATTGTTTATTTTTACTAATGTATTACCGCTGAAAAAATACCCACGATTCAAGTGCAATTGTAATTACGCGGTTTAGACGTGTGTGGCCTGTGTGTTTTTTTTTTAACGCAAATTACTGGAAATTGGAAAATCGTCTTATTTTTCCTCAAAGAAGCAGTCACTTCCTGTTTCAGGTTTTAACTTTTGGCAAAGAATCTGTGGACCAGTCTATTTTATAATGAGAAGGGAGACAGGTTGATTCTTGTTAATTTTCAAGGTTTTAGTTTTCATGATAAGAACCAGATCCTGTTTTCAAAACAGTTAAATTTAATTCTAGATTGAGAAACCGCAAAAAACCTTGACCTTCCCTGAGTGCAAGCCAATAAAAATTCACTGAACATGGGTGTTAATCATTAAACTCACAAGTGAGCTGAGTTGATACGAAAAGTGGAGTTTTACATCCTAATATTCAACAATTTATTGTACCTATTTAAAGGGATTGTAAAAAGGTTTGAGAGAAATTGCAAGACTCACAAAAATAGAATTGTGAAAACAATGCTTTAAAAAAGGGCATAAAAATTAATTTGTTACACTTTCCTTAAGGGTAAAATATTCACGTCACCAGTGAAAGGTGAAATCGGAGTTCAACATCTTTTACAATTTTTTTCTTTTTTCAACAATTTTTCAGGGATTCAAATAAAAAATAGAATAATTAATATTAACTTTTTCTCAATAAAAAAAGGAAATTTTTAATTTTCAGTAAGTTCTCAGTACTTCAACTGTTTTTTTAAATTAAAAATAATGGAAAAATTACATTCTTTAGATTAAATTTTACAGTTCCACAAAAATAAGTTAATTATTAACAACAGACTGATGAGGTTTTGGATTCCTGGACATTTTCCCAATTTTTTTGGCTGAAGTCCAAGAGGAGTCCATTTAATGAGGTAGAAGATGCTGAAAAAACTAGATTAGATTCTGGTAAAAACAGGTGGTAATCAAAGGTCGTGACCTCAGTTTCATAGATTCTACCATTCAAATATCAGGGACATATGTTTAGAGGTCATGACCTCAGGGTGTTTAGGATCAACCATTCAAATAATAGGGACGTTTGTTTAGAGGTCATGACCTCAGGTTTTTAGGATCAACCATTTTAAATATCAGGGATGTTGGTTTGTTTTTAAATCAACAGGTGTCCTAGTTTGTTGTTTACTTTTTGTTAATTGACATTATTCTGTTAGTGAGTACTCTCTGCCCTAACGACCTGTCAAATATTTAAAACTCTGTCCAAAATAGGATTTCGGTTTAATATCTTCGACTGACATATCGCAGTAAACAAAAACAAGTGTGTATTTAAAGTAGAACAGCTAGAGTAAACAAGAAATTGAAATCGTTGGCCAAGTTCCTCCACCATTAAGATAAGATAGGGCATTAAAAATAGAGTTATAGTAAAGATATGAAGGAAGATGAGGAAGCAAGATGGAGACAAGTTTAAGATAGATATATTAGTAGCCATTAAAATAAAGATAAACTATCTCACTAACAGACTGATTGGAAACAATATTTATCATTTGATCATTCCTTTGGTGTCTAATTTTTGACTCCACCTCTCAACTAAGATCTGACAGAATATCTATGCCTCTCATGCTCTAAGTCATTTCATATTCAACTTACCAAATGCTCTGTTCAACAAAGTTTCTTTTAGGTTTAGTTCCAGTTTTTTTTGTTGAAAATATTCACTATATGGCTTTATGTTTATCTGGCAGGACTATTATACCTCTGTTATAAGTATAGTATTTAACCAAATCAAGCTAAATGTTGGTAGTATTTTTCTGTTTTGGTTTTTTTCAAAAATATCCACTTACAAAATAAGGCTTTACATTACAAATACATATCCTTTTTCTAAAGTATCATATGGCCCAGTTGTGTTCTACAGAACCGAGAGAAAAGGTCACGACTAATACCTTTTGAGAGGATTATTTCTAAGGATAATCTGTCTGAGATAATCCCCCAAAAGAAAAAAAGAAGGGTGGAGTCGCGCTAAATATGAAACTCAAGTCTTTTCTTTTATACTGTCACAGGTAACACAATCTACTGATATCATACGTTAAAACTTAAAATATTGCATAATCACCACAGACCTGTAACCAGACTTGATTGTTGTGAAGGGCAAGTAATATATACAAAGAGGCAATATAGTTGCAATAACAGAATTTTTTATCACAGAAGTTTGTGAATGCAGTGATTTGATTGGATAGTACTCTAATGAATACAGCGAATCATAGCTATTGATTACAAGCACAGTTTAATTGTTTAAGCCTTAATGCAAGAGCTCTGATTGGCTGTATTAGTAAGCATATCCAATCAGATCACTGCAATTACCCATTTTCATATAGGTGTAGAAAAATTCCTTACCTCTTTACTGGGGACACAGATGGGTGTACCTTCTTTTATAAATCCTGCGTCAATCATTACTCCAACTACTATAGGGTTTCTAGTATTAAATATATACTGGGGTAGGATACGTAATTTACATGGAAACACGGCTAAATGTTTAAACTCTTCCTGTTTTTTACGTTTGATTTCCTCGCGATACGCCATAAATTTATCAAATAAATGATAGATAATGTCAGCAGTAAATATTTTAACACCGTAATGATCGGCCAAGTCCTGGGCCTCACGTTCAACTTTCACATCAAACGCCAGAATACACGCATACCTGAAAATAGAAAAAGAAAAACTATAAAAACAAGAACACCACATTAATATTAAGAATTTCTATAAAATATTGAAATTTCAAAGGATCATTAAAATATTGTAAACTGCAGCAAAACTCAAAGTAGAGTCTTTTTTTTTGGTTTTTTCTGTCCCACGATTCTTTATTAATATCAAGAATACGATCCTTCTGTTACGCTTTGATTAGTTAAAAATATTGTCATTAGGCTGTAAAAAAATTGTTAGATTGCAATTGAGAAGAAAAATATCAGAAAAAGAAATGAATTTGTAATTTAATTAGATGTAATTTTATTTAGGTTAATTGCACCCCTCTTCAGCCTTGACCCTGACCCAACACAGGAAACAACAAGGGATCAAAAGTAATGAGTTCATCTGAATTCAAAAGCTGGGTTGAATGAATTGGTCAGAAAATGGCCATAATTTCCAGTCAATTAAATTATGATCAAACCAGTTCATTCCTTTAACGAGGACATTTGCTTTGATACGTTACTATTAATCTGAGATATTATCATATTCAATAACCACTTCAGATACTTTCCTTACTTTCAGTTTCTCTTAGAAATATTAATGATCTTTTATATTGTATTGTATTGATAGTGGACTATACGCCATATTCATAACTTTCAGTTTCCCTTAGAAATATTCAGTTATTATTCAAATAATTATATCTAACTTTCAGTTACACTTAAAAATATTTATGATCTTTTATCTTGTATTGATAGTGGACCACTATCTTTCTTTTTCGGATTTATTAAGAATTATTTTTGACTTTTGGCCTCTCTATAATAGGACCATATTCAGTTATTTTTTTGCAACTTTCAGTTTCACTAAGACATCTTTATTATCAATATTTATACTGATAGTGGACCAAGTACCATGTTATTATTCCTATCTGTCACTTTTGGTTTCAGTGAGAATTATTTATAACTTTTGGCCTATCTATAATAAATCTAATAAACCAAGGACCATATTATTTTTTCCTATCTGTCACTTTTGGTTTCAATGAGAATTATTTAAGACTTTTGGCCTGTCTATAATAAATTTATAATAAACCAAGGACCATATTGAGTTATTATTCAACTATTTTTTGTATCCTTCACTTTCTGTTTCAGTGAGAATTATTCATGACTTTCGGTTGATGTATGATATTTGTATAGTGGACAATATATCTGAGATGTGGGATGGGGGGTGGGGGGCGAGGGGATGGAACCAAAGCTAGTTCATCCTCAATGCTGGATATGCCCCCTCCCCTCTAGAAATGCCCCTATGTAACTCAGCAGTAAGTGTGTGTAATATTTCAAATGTAACAGATGTGCATTAAAAATTTGTAAAAATCCACCACCTCCATTTAACTAGTGTAAAGGAAATACAAGTGTTTTTAACAATATCTGTATAGTGTTACATTAAGTTTTTTTATATTCAGCAGAAGTTTTCACAGTATTTATCAACTCAATATTGAATACTGTTTACATGGCGTGAATATAGGTTAATAAATTCAAAATCAATACAGAAAGGATAGGACGTTGAATAGGAAACCTTCAACGGAATTTAGTAGCCAATTAAAAGACCATAAAAATATTGAATTGAATATTACTAACGCCTTTCTTGTACTCAAATGGTCACTGAATTACTTATTTTACTACCCAATTAAAACCACATAAAATATTACTTTCATATAATATAACTTAGTCTCAAATTTTCCATGATCTCAGAATCACTGAGTTTGTCAGATCAAATATATTGTAGATATTATTTTAAATTTGTAACCTTGATCACTGGATTAGTCATCAAAATAGCTATTTCTTTATTAACTTTTGTGAACTCTATGAGTAATTCAGAGTTGACAAAAAAGATGCAGGAAGTCTGGCATCAGGTGTTCCATACTATCCAATTAAAGCATCCAACCCCCCCCCCCCCCCACCCCCCCAAAAAAAATTAGAATAGATAAATAAAATATACTGTATTTATCCCACAAGAATACCCTTTATGGAACCACAGAATATGCTGATGAAAATTACATTATCCATCCCACAAAAATACCCATTTTAAACAATACTGATAATATACTGTATTTATCACACAAAAATACCCAGTATGAAACTACAGAATATACCAATGATCAATTGCAGCATCCATCCCCATTTCAAATATCAATATAAAACAATGTTCTCTGACATGTACTAAACAACCCTATAAGTCAATAAGTTAGTGGTATATATAAGTCAATAAGTATATAAGTCAATAGATTATCGGTAAATAGTCCACACAGTATAATGATATAATAATGAAACATTACTAATAAAATTACAACATCTGTTTCTGACTCAAATCGCTCATAACCTCATTCTATAGTTTATTACACACACTGACCGTGTTCAAGCATTCCAGTTATTAGTCATACATAACAATTAGGACAGTGTCCATAGAGAATCAAAATATTTCATGATTTACAAAAATCCTGGTCACTCATCATACATTGATGATGATGATGATTGGTGATCAATGATTATGATGACTATAATGATGACAATGATAATAATAATGATGAATGACAATGATGACTGTTATGATGTTGATAATAATGATGAATGACTATTAAGATGATTGATGATGATAATAAAAATGATGATGATCATAATAATGATGAATGACAATGACTATGAAGGTGATTGACAATGAAAATGATAATGGTAATGGTGACTATGATGATTCTTATGGAAATGATAATTGATAATTATGATTGATGATGATAATAATGAAAATAATGATGACTATGATACTGATGATGATGATGATGACAGCCCAGTCTTTTAAGGGCTCAGTTTTACTGTAGTAAGTTGATAGACTCCCAAATCTACACAATGGACCAAAACTATGGAATTTTGGTGAGAGCTAACAAAGGATTTTAACAGCATGTCAGTAGTCAATTCGAATTTTATGAAAATTAAAATTAACTTAAAACCCTTTTCAAAATTTAAACAATAAATTAGCACACAATGCCTCCACCTCCACCGCGAGAATGAATTCTACATATTTTTTACTCAAGCTGACAAAAGATTTTAATATTATCTCAACAATCAGTTTATGACAGCTGGATAAAAAAAAAACAGCGGAGAAAAAGCCAGAATTTGAAATGTCACATGTTTTATGGTGGATTTCTTTTTCTCATTCATAAAGTCGGCAATAATAACCTAGACTAGTCTATTATAGATAAGCCTGTAGGGGTGATAGGTAGGCCAATATACACCTGGGTCAAATTATGTAAATATTCCAACCCACACACTTTTACCGACTTTGTATATTAAATTACTTCGTTCAACTAACTTCCATTCAAGTTTTACTCTCAATAATTCATCCTCCATTAGTTTAACTTAAAGATGCTATCCCAGATGAAATTTATATCAAAAAATTAAGTAATTTATTTTCCCTGTATTTATTTGTTGTTAATATGAATTTGTGTTGTGCCATCCCATATGAAATTTGTTCAATGTATTTATATTAATTGTATCTTTTGTTATTGTCAATTTGTATTGTTATCAATATATACCTGATATTTACTTCTTTTGTTATCAATATATCTTATATCTTTTGTTATCAATATATCTTATATCTTTTGTTATCTTATATATCTATATGTCAATTTAAATTGTTATGAATACTTCCTCAGTCATGTCAAGCTGACAATTAGCAATTAGGTGCCTTGGGTTTGAATCCTTGAGGAAAAAGATTCTGAAGCCACTGCCAGTGCATTCAACATTCAGTCCAGTGTCGGCTTTCAATCTCTAATGCTGTCTCGGCACAAATATATTTTCTTGCCTCGATGCTTTCCATTGTTTCAAACCGTATAAAAATAAAACATTCTACTTACTGTCCGTCGTGTTCCAACATGGCCGAAGTTTTCATCACATCTTTTTTATGGACCGGTCCAATATTGATACCAGCATACTGAAATATAGAATGTATATTTAAAATTTATATGTATACATGACATTTTCCTTTTTCTTATTGTCAATGTCACCAGGGGGACCTTATTCTTGAAAACTTAACTTAAGATGATTTTAGTGTTCCATTCATCTCATTTGTCAATCACTAAAATCAATTTTAAATTTAGTTTTAGTATCCAATCAGACTAGTGTATTTCTTCAAATCTGGATTTTTAAAGTATTTGGAGAATACGACCTCTGAACTCTCTTTTCAGTGCCATTTTTTTTTTCAGAGGAAACCAAACTTAAGACAACATGCAGTTCACAGTGCTCTTAAGAGTTAAGAAAGAAAAAAAGGCGGATTTCACTTTGTGATAAAAAAAAAAAATGAGGTAAAAAATTTTACGCTAGGTATCGAATGTCACAACAATTAGAAGTGTGAAAATCTCGACCACACAAGAACATGCCTTTTATTTTTTATTTTATTATTAGGTGTTTATATTTCATTTTACACGTTTTAAACACTAACTATCAAATAAAGATGGTGATAAGTCCAATCTACAATCTATCTCATCATATTTTCACACGTACGTGTTTTTGGTACATAAAAAATTATTTTAAAAGGGCTTATCACATTATAACAGAATTTCTAGTAATTGAAAATCAGAAAGATAGTCTAGAATAGTCTAGATCTTTGAGTTCCTTGATGTTTCAGATGATATTTTCAGAGTTCAGATTTATTGGTGCAATAAACAAGACGCTTTCAAATCTTCCCCCATTCCATTTCCTGTTTAGAACATAAGGCTAAGATGTTCTTGATGTTCAATTGATGTCATGCTTCCAAAATGCATTGGTTGAATCTACCTTGAAAGTTAGGAAATGACACAATCTAAGTCTGGTGTGGCAGAGATCAGGGAGTATCTCTGGTTGCTCTTCAGGAGATGACCTTAAATGCCCAAGTCTCGATCAAAAGTCAACACGGGTGGAAGCCATCAAAACAACCTGAGACGCTCCGTCAGTGTTTGGTCAGTGTGCACTAGGCTTCACAGATCTAATTTCTACACGAGTCTGCACCAAACAAGACGAAAAAAAAACATCTTTCAAAAGTACAAAGTAAGGCTTGGTGCAGACTTTAAGATGAATCATGCTGCGAGGAAAAAATTAGCCATATTCTTATATTTTTACATCATTAGATTCCATATCACTGTAATAATGATTCCTCTTTGATGTCTGGGGGTAGCTCAGTACAACACAAAATAATCAGATTTCAAACCTTGGTAGTAAATCGACAAAACAGAGAGACCATTGTAAATACAGCACGATAAAAAACTACACAGAAATCAAATTACTATCAACAATATACATCAGGTGGCTCGGTGCAAAACTATGAACCTTTTACACAAGGGATGTTAATTTCATTCAGCCAGATGTGTCAGATTTCAGGTAAAAATGGCTGCTAACGATAAGCTTGTCTGAAAAGGAGTTATTGAAGCTCATCCAGAGCAAGCAACATTCAAACTCAGACAGAAGTGAGTTGGATTGGCGTCTGCTGGGTGATTATGTGCCTTGGGTTTGAATCCCACTCAAGGTAAGAAGAATTATGATGCCATGGTCTGTCTTTCTGATAGTGGGCCTGATGTCGTTTCACAAACCCTATCACACATATAATTAAAAACATTTCCTGTTGATCCTGTTTACCAAATAGGCTTTGGCCAACTCCCTTCAAATTATCTGTAGCCATATACAGATGGGGCCTGATTAACAAAACTTATTAAAGTTCAGAAAACAGTAATCTGATTGGATATTAAAACGAAATTTAAAATCAGTTTTAGTGATTGACCAATCAATGGACTGGAACATTAAGATCATTTGGAGTTATTTTGACTAATGAAGAAAGGTGACATATAAGAAGGTCACTAGAAAGCTGCTTGTTGACTGAGGTAGCTAACGGTGTTGAAGAAATAGTAAACATACTTACTGGAATTTTGGAAGTACGTAAGAATTCTAACAAGGCTTCTAAAGACCCGAGGGTGGAGGCTTGAACAAAAACACCTTTATCAGATATCTTTATAGATGACAAAACATCTTCCAATGCTGAAGAAATTTCTTTCTGAAAATATATATATATATATACAAAACAGATTTAAATAAAACGAAATGATTGGTCTAATCACAAGCAGTGTGCAATGAGGGAAATTTACGTAGTGCTTTAACCTGATTTTTTTTACGATCTCCAGGTGTTGAGACCTGTCTATTATGGACTATATTCATGTTGCTATGTTACAATCTTTTGACAAACAAGTGATAAAATGTCAATGTAAAGAGCCCTCTCTCTCAGAAGAGACAATCATTTGTTCCATTTTGTAATTCAGGTAGATTCTGCTTTACGGAAATACCCATAGTTGCTAAATGTTTCCTCGTTAATAACATGAAGATAATCTCTTGTATTTTTCTTTTTCATCATGAGTTAAATTACTGTGATATCAAAATTATAAATCAAATTGGACAAAAAAAAAATACAGAGGACACATACTAAAAAAAAACACCTTGATTTGTTTGTTTAGAATTCAGGTAAGAATGATTAATGTTTCCGGAGTAAATTTACAATGACATCACTTCCTGTCATATATTACCTCAATGTTATAATTTATTTAATTTATTCGTATCTCAAGGTCAACAAGATACCAAAATAACAGTCAATTTGCATAATTCAAACTCTAACAAGTAGGCTTACACATTTTTTTTATTTCTATTTTAATGAACAATATCAAAGAGCAAAATGAGAGCAAAGGGGCTATTGTTAACTATTCTACCTAGGCATTTTACCATGACAACCCAGCAGGTTAAGGACACCTTAAAGGGCTTTTCTTTGATCATAAACCAATTCTTAATCATAAGAATCCTGATGGTTAATTTTGCAGCTTTGTGACTAAGCAAGGCCAAAAAAAATCTTATATAAATTAGACAATTTCCTTTTTTGTTTTTTTTTTTTCCAGATATTTTTCTTCTCCATTGTAATCTAACAAGTTATCTACCACAGTTGTGTTCTAATGACATTATCTTAACCAATCAAACCATGTCATGTAGAACCCTTTTCTTGATAACACAATAGATCAGATTGTTGGATTGCGAAACCGAAAGTAGAGATTATGACTGCCTCTTGTGGTTTCGTTGTTCCATGATTTGTATTAGATCAAAGGCTACAAGTCATACCTGACTCCAACACCCTTTGATAGTTAAAATGAGTACTAACTAAGGGAGATCATCAGAATTAAGTGACAAAAATATCATAGGATCAAAGGCTACATGTCATGACCGACTCAGAAACCCTTAATAGACCAAATTAACCAAAAAGGAGATTATCAGAGTAAAAGCAAACTCAGACACACTAGAGATAAAACTGAGCTACTAACCACATAATAATCCACCTCATCTGGGGTGTGAGCAACATATAACGGTAACCCTGCCATAGCTTTCTCCATATCTTTAGCAATAATCTTCACACCTTGGGCCGCCTTCACTTCTTTATGGTGTTCATACTGATTCTGAAATAGACAAGTCAAATAGTTTTCAATACAAATATTCTAGGGGCACTGAATTCCCTTGACATTGTGAATGTATTTGTGGTTTATTTTCTTCTCAAATTGACTGATTCTGTGCACCAAATTTGGTGAATTCCAAAAGTATATCCATGGAGACATACATTTTGGGATACGTTTTCTATCTGAAAATAAGTCTGAAAATACTATTGTCTTAAAGGAACTGAAAAGAGACTATATCAGTCTGAAATAGGTCAGTTGTCTGAAGATTGCATGGCAAGAAACTCTGAGTAACAACATGCTTTAGGTTCTGTTTTGATATTTTTTTCTAAATGTATCAGGGACACAATTTAACGATCATACTCAATGTATTACAGTGGTCAAGTCGAGAGCTAGAGAGTGAAGAAATGATAATAAGATTGTGTGTAACAAGTCAACAGACTGACACTGGGTCTATTTGTATAAACTCCAGTCCACAATGTCACAGGCTGTCAGTCAAATACACACCTCTACAGCCCAATAATCATTTATACTACAGACCACAATGTCACAGACCGCCAATCAAATACACACCTCTACAGTCTAATAATCATTTATACTACAGACCACAATGTCACAGACCGTCAATCAAATACACACCTCTACAGGCCAATAATCATTTATACTACAGACCACAATGTCACAGACCGTCAATCAAATACACACCTCTACAGGCCAATAATCATTTATACTACAGACCACAATGTAACACAGGCTGTCAGTCAAATACACACCTCTACAGTCTAATAATCATTTATACTACAGACCACAATGTCACAGACCGTCAATCAAATACACACCTCTACAGTCTAATAATCATTTATACTACAGACCACAATGTCACAGACCGTCAATCAAATACACACCTCTACAGGCCAATAATCATTTATACTACAGACCACAATGTCACAGACCGTCAATCAAATACACACCTCTACAGTCTAATAAATTGTCTGAGAAATATAAAAGAAACTTACCTTGACTCGAAGTTCTTTCATGGGTTGAGGCATGAGTAAACCTCTGATAGAGGTGACAATAGGACCCTCTGTACCAGCTATTACTATAGCTTCTCCTTCCTTAATACTTCCATTGACTAATATAACATCTATAGTGGTTCCTAGACCATGGATAGCCTTTACCTAGAACATAATAAAATACATAACATTGACTAATATAACATCTATAGTGGTTCCTAGACCATGGATAGCCTTTACCTAGAACATAATAAAATACATAACATTGACTAATATAACATCTATAGTGGTTCCTAGACCATGGATAGCCTTTACCTAGAACATAATCAAATACATAACATTGACTAATATAACATCAATAGTGGTTCCTAGACCATGGATAGCCTTTACCTAGAACATAATCAAATACATAACATTGACTAATATAACATCTATAGTGGTTCCTAGACCATGGATAGCCTTTACCTAGAACATAATAAAATACATAACATTGACTAATATAACATCTATAGTGGTTCCTAGACCATGGATAGCCTTTACCTAGAACATAATAAAATACATAACATTGACTAATATAACATCTATAGTGGTTCCTAGACCATGGATAGCCTTTACCTAGAACATAATAAAATACATAACATTGACTAATATAACATCTATAGTGGTTCCTAGACCATGGATAGCCTTTACCTAGAACATAATCAAATACATAACATTGACTAATATAACATCTATAGTGGTTCCTAGACCATGGATAGCCTTTACCTAGAACATAATCAAATACATAACATTGACTAATATAACATCTATAGTGGTTCCTAGACCATGGATAGCCTTTACCTAGAACATAATCAAATACATAACATTGACTAATATAACATCCATAGTGGTTCCTAGACCATGGATAGCCTTTACCTAGAACATAATCAAATACATAACATTGACTAATATAACATCTATAGTGGTTCCTAATTCATGGATAGCCTTTACCTAGAAATAGAAATGATTTCTTTAAGGCTCAGTATGATATTTTTTGTAGGCCGAAAATTTTCTTTTACTATATAATATATCAAAATCTGCCATGTGTTTGCCGTTCATTTCAGAATGCTATAACTGTATAAAAGGTTCCTTGAAGAGACACTACCCACTACCCAACCTCACCACCCTCACCCTCAGGACAGGCCCTGATTATCTTAAAGGGTCAGTATTAAGTGGTGTACAGACCTCGATACTGATAAAACTAGCTATAACAATAGGCCAGGTATTGTTATTGAAGTATTAAACAAGGATGTTACAAAGATACTTGAAGATATCAACTGACAGATTATAACAGGAAACCCTCTATTTACCTTTCTATCTACTTGTAGTTTTGTTATTAAAGGTACAATTAAACCCTGTTTTAACATTGTCAATTCAGATTTCATTGAGGGACATTTAGTTACTTGTGTATCATTACTTAATAAAGACAAGAGTATTATCATTGAAAAATTACGCACATAATGGTTCTAAGTAATTTATTAAGTTAGATTTTAATTAGCGATAAAGAATATAAAACAGAACTGATAAAAACATGTTATTACTCAGAGTTTTACGCTATTTGATCTTCAGACAACTGACCTATTTTCAGTCTGTGTCCCTATTCTTAATTTCATGTTTGTAAGCAACGATGTAAATATTTCATTTTCTCGAAAACTCAAAAAAATTTTGCATTCAAATTTAGCAATGGAAATATATTTTCCTAAGCAGTATGTAGCTTCCAGAGAAAGAAACAAAAACCAGACACATTTTCAAATTTATATTCATCAAAGGCAAAAATTATGAAAAAATCACACGTTAGATCTTCAAAGAACTCACATTTGTACCTTAATTCAACAGACAAAATAAAGTTATTTTCTACGAATTGCCTCAAATATTTTCTGTTTGTTTTTGGGGATTTCAGATGATAATGATAATAATAAGATGAAAGTAGGAACTAATTCTTGGACAAAACACCATCCACCTCTTACATTTAGTATCTTAGCTTCACAATTTTACTTTTTATTTCAAAATTGGCTTTTATTTTTCATTTGTGTTGATTTGCCTGTCATGTCCATTTGTCTCCAAAAACGCCCAATTATAAATTCTCACTGTGGGACATCAAGTATAGCATACGTATGGTTCTTACATGAATATATAACACACACGAACATGGTTCATAGCTATTTTTCTAGAGGCTAGAAATTTTATTGGTTAAAGCAGACATCATCGAGTTCAAGAGGGCTGTCGAAAAGTTTGGACTGAGATATGTAAGGTCCTTACCTCCATGACAGTGGCATTCAGCTCTTCACTGTAGGAAACACGTTTAGCCAGTAGAGTCTGCGACAATTCTGATATCAGTGCTATTAGATTTCCCATGCCATCACCACTGTGGGCAGACGTGGGTACCAGGGATATGTATTCTTTGGGATTCTTATTTTCATAAAATAACGCTGCATTCAAACTCTGGAAAGAACAAGAAATTGGTTACTTGTGCCAGAAAAACGAATGAAATGAAGAGTTGTTATGGTTAAGGGGAGGCAACTACAATTATTGAATTGCTACAGATGCTAAAGACACTAAGTAATTCTTTTTGCTATGTCGGGGGGAAACTGGATTGCGGTAGCCCTGTCATCTATGCCAGGATGGAACCTGGATCTTCTGGTTAGCGAGCAAGCATCTGATAATTGTAAGAAATTAACGAACCTCATTGGCTAATTGTAATATGACATCATTGACTCGTTTGTCAAATTCTAATTTTACATTATGTTGCTGTTTCTTTATAACATTGACTACATCGTTTCTAGGGTTACTCTGCCATTGGTACAATCTGTCAATCTACAACAGAATGAATAAATGAATCAATCAATTAATCAATGAATCAATCAATGATCAAATCAATTAATGATCGAATTTATGAATGAATGTATGAAAGAAAGTATGAACGAATGAGTGAATGAACATATGAATGATTGAGTAAATTAACAAATGTAAGAAAGTATGAATGAATGAATGAGTGAAAGTATGAATGACAGAGTAAATCAATGATTGTATGAAAGAAAGTATGAATGCATGAACCAAGAATAAATGTATGAATGAATGTATCAATGATGCATGAATCAACTGAATGAATCAATGTACAAAAAGATCGTACCCTTTTCTGCTCCTGATGTGTCTAATGGAGACCAACGAGTTGCCAAGAATTTTATTATCATGACCATCATTACTTCTATGATCCACTTTTAGGTTTGAAACTAAGATCTACTAACCTTATTTAAAGCAACAACAAATGGCGTCTTTCTTTCCTTCAATAAATTAATAGATTCTAGAGTCTGAGGCTCCACACCATGCATAATATCAATAACTAAGATGGCTATATCACAGAGAGACGAGCCTCGAGTACGTAAATTACTGAAATATAATATCAATATTGTCATCTTTATATTTCGGTTATATACCGTATCATAATGAATAGAATGCGCAAATGATCAGCACCTCCATTTACCTCCAAGTTCAGTGAAACTCGATTTTTTGCATTTTAAGTATGAGATATCATGGGCTTAAGGTTAATGAATACAAATACCAATAAACAGCTAAGTAATAATGATCCAAACAACAAAATGAAAACTGAAATCAGCAGCTATTGAACTTTTTAATGTTATCAATGACTTTTCCAAATGAAATATAATTAAAATCTCACCTGAAAGACTCGTGACCAGGTGTGTCTATAATTAACAAACCAGGTAGTTTTAGTGGATTCTTCTGAAACTGATAATAAAACAATAAACATCAATATTCAAGTTTTCATCAAGTTCTACATCAATATGAACGAACATGCAAATTTCATGGTATTTTCGTTACAAGGGCAATAACTCACTAATAATGGTCATGGTTCGCCATTTTGGGGGTTGATTTGGATTTAAAGTCTCAAATTTTGTCTTTTTAAGATGACAAGTCACCTAGTTTACAATGACAGCTGTTTGTGGGCTTATGTTATCTTGACTTGCATGTTGTCTTTTTCATTATCAAACTACCTTTAAATAAAACACCTGAGTTTACAATTCTCTAATCAGAAATATCATAACTTACATCTTTACACATTTTGGTATGTTCAAGAATTTTCTCATGTGGAACATTTGTGGCACCAATTTGTTGGGTAATACCCCCTGCTTCTCCATCTTGTACATTCGTGCGACGTAACTAGAAAAAAAAGTAAATAAATAAAATTTAGGAAATTAATATTGACAAAGATGGTGCTAGTCTGATGATCTTGTCATTCAAGTCGACCCAGCTGTAAAAGGGTACAAATAATCTGAGAAAGATTCATAAAGAATTGTAGTGGAACTAAGTTGTTATCTTTGTAAATATGATTGCTTCTTTCTCCCGACTGAAGCCATCAAACACAACTATTTCTTAATCGGTGAGTCAAAGAAATTCTTATCTTACCTTATCTAAGATTTTAGTTTTACCAGTATCTACGTGGCCCAATACACAGACCACAGGGGCACGTAAATTATCTGTATTTCTCTTCTTCTCACATTCAGCATGGTGTTTCTAGAATACCAAAATAGGGACCAAATTTTACATCAAAAACTAAATTGGAATCATTTAAAGAAAGTAAATACACACCAAGAACAATGATCAATTGATTAAATATTTGATCTCCAACTGATTCTACTCTCATTATGTTCAGTGACTTCACAAACTTTGCCACTTATCAAGTGCACCTGCTGCAAATTTATCTGTTGATTTCAAATTAGCTGTCCAAATGATGGATGTGATATCTTTACCATGTGACAACAGTAGATAATATCTTGACATTTAAAGAAATAAAAAAAGTTCCTCAAGGTAATATGCTTAGAGATGTTAGTGACCATTGAATTCATTTCCGGAACTTTTGGAAAGCGTAGGCAGCGAAGTGTTTAGCTCTGCTTATCCGGAAAGAAATGCATCTGCAACCCATTTCTATTTCCAGAATTACGTAAATTTTCGGAAGTAGTACATCTCTGTATGCTGTGGCTGGTATTTCCTAGCCAGGGCCTGATGTTATATCAAGTTACAATATTATAGATACATACAAGCAATTTGCTCTCCATTTGCTCTCCATTTGCTCTCCATTTGCTCTCCATTTACTCACCATGATTTTTTCACGAGCTCGTTCAATAGGAGCTAAATCTTCATCACTAGAATCATCATCATCAGAACTGTCATCACTACTTTCACTTTCTTCCTCTGAAGATTCCTCACTCTCCTCTATAGACACTTTCTTTTCTAGCTTCTTCACTTCTGGCTTTTTGATGTCTGCCTTTCTCACTTCTGCTTTTTTAACCTCCACTTTCTTCTCCTCTGTTGGTGTCTTGGCTTCTGTATTCTTTGGTTCTTCTGTGACTAAAATTAGAAAATCTAAGATTAACACTCAATATCAATTCAGCATTGGTTTGTGAAATAGTCCAGTGATTTTGTTCCTACTATTATCAATATTCTGTTTGGCTTTTGGTTCTTTCTTAGTGTGTCTTTACATCATAGCAATTACCATTTGTGTATGGTTGTAAAGAATGAAAGTAGCCATGAGTTCCGAATGCAACTCACAACTCGGTTGCATGAGAGTCTCGTTTGAAACTTATGACTTCTATTCTCCTTCGCAACCATACGTCACTGATGATCGCTATGGTGATGGTGTGAGGGCACCACTACCTGAATTGTCCTCTTCACCACTGCTTTCATCCCAAGCTCCTTTTACATCCTCTTTCTCTTCTTCTTTTACAGCTTCTACTTTCACTTCTTCTTTCGCTTTAGTTTCAACTTTGACCTCAGCTATAGAAGTCGAAGGTTTCTCTTCAGTTGGTGTTTTTTCTTTTTGAACTAAAAATAGAAGCACAATATGAATAAAGCTCAAAACTTTGCTATATCAATTCATATATTCTAGTACATCTTTGGATCATAAGCAAATACAAAAATTTCAAAAAATAAAAACTTAAAAAATCAGACATTTTGGACAATTAATGCATCGAGATCTTAACAAGAACTATCCAAAGCTACCTCCAAAATTCATTGTTTTTCAATTGCTCAAGTATTGAATATCTTTCAAAAAAAGCCATTTACTAGTAGCCTACATAAACAACATAGGCTTGTATTGAAGAGTGCATTGTTTATTAAATATACAAATAATTCTTGGGTAAAAAGGGTGTGCATTATATACACAAATATACAGTATATGTCCATTGTAGAAAATTTCAAAGCTTTCAACCACTAACCCTGTTTTTGTTTTTTTCTTCTTCTGTCCTCATAAACTGGTGGAGCTTTTTTAGCTTTATCTTTATCAGGGATCTTGTAACCTGTAATTTATAAACATTGTGTTCACGAAAAATAACACCTTTACTTTTGTGACCAAGGGACTGAATGAGAAAAGATCCAGAATGTAATGTGCCAAAACCTTTGCCTATTTCATACATTTTTGTGGAGTCAAGCTGATGATTTTGAAGCATGTGATGGCACCAGACATGCTTACTCCTCTCGACACCTGATACCACCACATTATGAAATACTTACTCACTTATGAATTAATATACTACCAACATATTGTTGAACTATTATTTTGGATTTCGGGTTTTGTGTTGAGGTTTTCTCCAGCCTATAGATTTTAATGCAGTAATAATAATAACTGATAATAAAGGAAATACGACACAATGACAGGGAGAAAACTCAGCCTACCTTGTTGTTTTAAAGACTCTAACATTTGTTGTAATTTTCTTTGGTCTTCTTCCTGCTTTTTGGTTAATAATTTTCCTTGAGCTTTCAATTCCTCTTTTCTCTCTTTTTCAGCTTGTTTCTTCAACGCTCTCTCTTCTTCTTTTCGTTTTTTCTGTAGAAATTAAAATAAAATTTACATTTCTGAATCCTTGTGGGCTGATTGTGGGCACAGATATGAATTGAGCAATGAAAAAATTTAACTTTTTGCCAATATTCACAGTTTGTTACAGAGTTAACTTTTTTTAATTTGGTCAGAAACGTTAGTTGAACTTGCTTTACAATCATTCTGAGAAGGGACAAGACATCAGGAGTAGCCTACTCTTTTTCTATTTCAATTTGATTAGAGATGTTAAACATTCACAGCCTGTAACACAAAGGGACTTGACAAATCATCTCGACCTATGCCAGAATTAAAACCTGGACCTTCAGGTTAGCAAGCAAGTGTCTTTATCACTGAGTCAGTGCAACTCTAAGATCATCTGAATTCAATACAATATTCTGAAAGTCAGAGAAGATATGGAACAGTTTGAAGCAACTCAACAATTAACCTCTTCCTCCAAGAGTCTAATTCTTTCTTCTTCCTTTCTTTCAAATTCTTCCAGTTCTCTCTGAGCTTCTTCTTCAGCCTCCTTCTTCGCTCGTAACATTTCTTGAATCATTTTGATCTGAAATATACAATGATGAATAAAAATGTGAAATTTTGAAATGAAGTTATTCATTCCAGATCTAATACAGGAACCAGATTAATAAAATATTTTCCAATCATATTTGTCGTAAAAAAAATTTGGGTCCAGAGTGAACAAACGACACACTCACCTGTTTATTTGGTTTTTTAATTTTAGTCTCCTTTCCTTCCTTCCCATCTTTTCCTTCCGTGTCTTTTTTCTTTTTCTTTTTACTTTTAGTTGTTTCTTCCACTGGCTTCTCCCCTTCTGTACCTGGAGAAAATAATTTGAAAGTAACATTAAAGATAACTTGCCAGGTAAGGTATCATACACCCACTGGCAGCCGTGAGAATTTAGTCTTGAGTGACTAAAATACAAATTTTTCTCATTCTGAAGATCTTCATAATGCATTTGTAAATTCATTGATAAATATTTACTGTCAGTTATTCATGTTGAGTTTTAAAAAGACCAACATGTCGAAATTTCTTTCAAACCCACCTTTTTCTGTCTTTTCTTTATTTTCACCTTCTTTCTTATCCTCTGACAGTTCTCCCACCTCTATTTTATCCTCCTTTTGTCCTTCCTCATCATTTTTACCCTCTTTCTCTCCATCCTCATCTTTTTTATCATCTTTAGGTTCTTCTGTTTTCTTCTTCTTTTTTTCTTTTTCTTTTTCCTGATAGAAAAAAAACACAGGGCCATGAATCAATGAACTGCCATGACAACACAGGGCCTTGAATCAATGAACTGCCATGAAAACACAGGTCCACGAATCAATCAACTGCATTGACAACACAGGGCCATGAATCAATGAATTGCCAAGACAACACAGGGCCTTGAATCAATGATCTGCCATGACAACACCTGGCAGTGAACCAATGGACTGTCATAAAAACACAGAGCAAGAAAAAGAAAAATCATCAATAACAACTAATAGCCATTTTTCACAAGAATAACAATTTCACAAGGATCCTTTCTACCAGCTGGTCCTTGGCCAAACCCCTTAGCATTGATCTTCACAGATTATTAGTACCTATTTACAACTGGGTGGACTAGAATGACTATGTTAGTACTCACCAATCTTTTTTTCTCTTTTTCTCTTTCCTTCTTCTCTTTCTTCTTTTGAGCGGCTGACTTCATCGTCCCTCCTTCTTCAGTGCCCTCTTCTTTTTCACCTTCTTCACCTTCATCTCCTGCCTTCTCTTTCTTCTCCTTCTTTTTTTTCTTCTTCTTATCTTTCTCGTAATAATCATCATCAATATCATCAATGGACACAATCTGTGGTTCAACTTTCTCAACTTCTGGAGCTTTACTTTCAGTTTCACCATCTTCATCGCCATCTTTCGACTCCCCTTTCTTACCCTTCTTTTTCTTCGAGCCTTTGTCTTTGGAATCTATATCGGCCACGATGGCATCGATATCAAAATCTTCATCTTTACCTTTCTTTTTCTTTCGATTGTTTTTCTTCTTGTTGCCACCTTCATGGACATGTTCCTCAACAACTTTTACTGGCTTGGATTCTTCTTTCTGTTTGTGAATGAAAAAAAAAATTGTCTCTTTAAGGGTGTGGATTATCAATACGGTAGAAAATTTTCAGTCAGACGTCTGTGGGTCTTGCAATTTCACTAAATCTAAGCATTTCATGACGTCACCATCCCAAAGACTCTTAGATATTTCAGCAGCTGTTGTTATAGTAACGTCAAACGATTAAGCATGTCTGTAATAACAATATCCACAGACATCCGACTAACAATTTGAATGATGCAAATAGAAGATATTAATGACCCTGAATTACATAAAAAAAAGAGTTTGAAATCTGTTGACTAATCTCTTTTAAAGAGGGATGTTAGGACATTTTGTTACCATAACGATAAACATAACACAAGAGAAACTGGGGCGTATTAAGGGAAAAAAATAAATTGTTCAACTTACATCAGACTCTTGTTCATCTGATACATCATCATCATCATCATCATCTCCACCAAACAAACCAAGGGCAGCAAATCCTACTGGTTTCTTCTTACCAGGTTTATCTCCCTTTTCTTCTTCTTCTGACTCTTCGTCTTCACTGACAACCTTCTTTTTAGTTTTCTCCTGAAATTTGTTAAGATTTACAAGACATATTTTACTACCAAGAACAAGATCAAGAGAATTAAAGGGATCGAAGAAAAGCTTTTCAAAAATAAAATTCAAATTTATTGGGATCACTCATAGCTTCGATTTGTACCATTCCAATTTTCAGTCAGATGTCTGAATGAATTCCTGTAAGATAATATTTTGCTAGAGCTACTTTTCAGCCTCTGATTGCTAACAGTGACTAAATGAATGTAGAATCAGGCCCGTAGCTAGCCCAGGGTCTCAGGGGAGGGCCAAAATTTTTAAGGGGGGCTCAACTAGTCATCTAAATGTTTCAGAGGTGGGGGGTCCAAAATAATCTTAGGAGGGCCTGGCCTCCCTCTGTGAGAGATTGTGAAACCAATGTCAAATTACACTACTTTAGGTTTCACTGTAAAATTGTAATCTAAATCTTAATTTGATAAAAATTATAAGATCAAACAATACCAACCTTTGCTTTCTGGGATGATTTCATACTTGATTCAGTATCATTATTTTCAATTGAAAGAGAGGCTATTTCATCGGCCACATCGTCAGACCTGTAATATAAAGATGTCTTATTTTTCATTCTAAAATATCAATAAAGATTTGAAGCTGAAATTCATACAAATTCACTTTTGAAAAATTGGCAAAATGCACTTACTAGTAATTGGTATTACCATAAAAGGCGTTATATCATACCTTTAGATATTATTAACAGTTTTTAGGATAGTGACATCATCAAACGCTTAG